TTAGGTTTTTTAACACTTACATTAGTAAAAATGATGGCTGGGCACACGGGGATGGGGAGTTGGTTCATAGGCAGAGGGCAGATTATTGGCCCTCACTTCTATCACTATCCACCACAGAGACTTGCAGGGCCTCTTTGCCAAACCCCTCAAAGTTCATATTCTCACTATCACTGACTTGGGCCGGCTGTGGTGGGTGGCGGGTGAAGAACTTGGTTAGTGTTTTGATGACTGGGCAACCTTGTGCGCACCCTGCCCACGCCGCTTCCTGCGTACATGAGTAGATGCACCGCGTAAATTGGGCATTCCGGTTCTGGCGGGGTACCGCGTAAATGTGGAAACGCGTAAGCGAGAACCGCGTAAACCGAGGTATTACTGTATTTTTACTACAGCTACAACCAATCTTATTTTCTTCAGTTTCAGACGGAGGAGAACCATCGTCCCAGTTGTAAACACTGACGACAACAATGGCGTCCCATCTCTTGTGTGACTACACATTATTATTGATTTATATTGTATAAGGTGCATTAATAACCATTTTTAAAGAATATAGTTTTTATTTTTCGTTAATTTTCCTTTTTGGGGGGGGAAAGAGGGCAATATACCACACACTATATATGAAAAAGTCAGACCTTGGAATGCATCTAATTATTATTGCTTTATTTTAATGGTAATTACGGATTCATGATACGGCGATTCACCTTACACTGCAATATTGGAGGACACATTACCTTCGTTATTCGAGGCTTTACTGTATTTCTTTGCTCAGTAAAAATTACTGTATTGCATTACTTTCTTTGTTATATAATTAAAGAAAGTTAAATGGCAAAGGAACAATTAAACCCTTTGTATTCAGACTCCCTGCTGAGCTGAATAAAATCGTCTGACGATAACCAAATAATAAAAGTGGTGTCCCTGTAGTGAAGTGGTTAAGCAAGAAGTGTTCATTTTGAGATGTGAAAGAAATAATGAATTGTATCTATGCTGAAGTTCCTCTGGCAAATTACTGCTAGGTTTAACTACTAAGCAGAATTTCCTTTAAAGAATTACTTATAATACTGTATTTGTTATTATTTAGAAGAAAAACCCCATCTTGTCTGAATTGTTTAGAAAGATTAGAAATTTACAAAAATAGAATGAAAAAATTATGAAAATTGCCTCATTCCTGAAAGAAAGGTACACATGAGCATTTATTACAACAGACACAGACAACCAATTCAAAAATAATTCATCTTGATCGTACAATATTTGTTTTAAGTGAGGTAGAGTTTGGTTAGTTCATGTCATGTTTCATCATTTATACTTAATGCCCACCTTGTTTACAGGACTGTGCCACTTAAGATGATTGTTTCACTGAACTGTTATGTTTGGCTTTTACCTGTATTGATCTGTCTCACTGATTTATTGTTCACAAGTAGTAATGGGCAGATCCAAAGGGGGGGGGGGGCTAGACCACCCCTTTTCATTAGAAAATTGCAATACTTTTTCTTTAATGCAGTATTGTACGTGGGCATTTTTATATTGTAAAAAGTAATTATTGACTTAAGAATATCTCATAATATCAAGTGCACATGGCTTCAAAATGGTCTCAAAATACCTCTGATATTGGTCAGATTTGAAAAAATATTCTAGGCCCCCCCCCTTTTCATTTTCCTGAATCTTCTGAGTAAATATTTGGTCTCATTAATTTTCCTCCTTTAGTCGATAATCTTTCTTCTCTTTCTCTTTGTTGCAATGTTGCTTCACTCTCTATCCTTTACAGGTACAGTACTTTAACAGGCAATGTTTGGTGGATTTGGCATCCTGTGTACCACTGGCAAGGCAGTGGTCTCGTGACACACATCTTGCCCGTGGTGCCCACCGTTTCTCTGTGGATGTCGGTCACACTAGAATAACCTGTTATAGTACATCCTTCTTTCCTCACACAGCCAAACTGTGGAATGCTCTGCCTTGTGTTTTCATACTTATACAATGTCTCACTTCAAAAAGCTGTTTTTCCAGCATCTTCGTTGTGTAGATTAACATGTCTTTTTCTGTTCTAATTTAGATTTTTTTTCTTTTTACTCTTTATTTTTTGTCCCCCAGGCCCTGTTGTGGGTCGATGATCTGTGCCCAGGTGGGCTATTCCACTAAAAATAAAAAATAATTTTTTTTTTATTCAGTATATGAAATACAGTAGGGTCAGGATATATCGTGAGATAGGGTCCAAGGATGTTCGCCATATACTAAATCGCGATATATAATTACATGTAATCAATGGAGAAAATAGGGCTAGGTTCTGGAGGCCAATAAAGTGACTAAACTTGACTTAACGAGTTTATTTTCTCACTAACTAAAGCACCAGTGAACACTAGACTCGGGAACAACAGACTGTTTCAATATCAATATCAAGGAACACCAGACTCAGCAGCTGACACACCATCCTGGGAACACCAGACTCAGTAGCAGACGCCACACTGCCACCCTCACTTTACAATCCTACACCTATATAAACGAACAAACCAAAAATATTAGTTACAGTATTAAATCTTTTCCATTAAGCTTTCCATTCTCTTCACTTCACTTTTTACATCACTAGCAACCCATTTACACTCACCTTAGAAGTCATAATCTGCAGCAGAGTCGGCTGCTTACTCGTCACTCACTCAGAAAGACTGAGCGGGCGAGTGTGAATGCGTGGGTGAGCAACCACGGTGGTGCCTCTGGTGAGCAAATAACGCATTTGTTTGCCATGGCGGTACATTTTAAATATTTCCTGCCTGATATCCCTTGCGAAATAAATAAATTTATCGCTGTGTATTGGAAAATGACGATAATTTTAGTAGTTGCGATATAAATTTTTATACAGTGGTCCCTCGGTTAATGAACACAATTCGTTCCAGAAGGTCGTTCGTTAACTGAAACCATTGTTTCAATGGGATTTTGGGTAATTGGTTCCAGCTCACTGAAAATTACATACAAAGTAAAAATAAATGCAGTAAAGTACACTTACTTTGAGGAGTGTATGTAGAAGGCTCCTGGTTGATGATGATGATGATCGGAATTAGAAGTGGGGGTGGAGGAGAAGGGAGAAGAGAAGGAAGTGGGGGTGGAAGAGAAATCACCCCATGCTTCATGCTGTCATTTCACCCATAAAATTTTAAGTTCACTAGGTGTAATTCAAGATCATTTTCTTTAAATCAACACTGCACAGCACTATATATTGTCAATATGTAAAATAAATTTCAGAATGACCAATAATTGTACTGTAAAAACGTAAAAATAGTCTATGTTCAAGAGAGCCTCAAGCAAGATGTTACTACCACTGACCAGAGATACAAACTGATGCCTTTGTGGGTGAGTCAAGTGGCTGATTGGCGCACCAAAAACTAGTTGCCTGTACTCCAATTATGTTAAATAAGTGTTAAAATGACTAAAATTTTTAATATAAAACTTGGAAAATTATTGAATAGTACAACCTTCTTGATATTTACTCAAATGGGAACGAATTTAAGCCCTAGAACCGATTACTGTATTGGCGGACTAATATTCCAGCTGGTGAGCAAGCGAAACTATGTTGACATGATTTCGTAAAAATTTTGTTAACCGATTTTTGGTTCATTAACCGAATTGAAGATTCTTATGGAAGGTAATTCGTTAACCAAAATTTAGTTAACCGAGGCGTTCGTTAACCGAGGGATCACTGTATATAAAAAGTCGCGATATATCCCGACCCTACTGTACCCACTTTATAGTTAGATGTACACCACTGAAACACATTGCCTTAATGCAGTATTGAACTGTACAGTATAGTCTGGGCTATGCATCCACAAAGGTGCCAGTTTCATGGAGAACTCACTATTCTTATTTTTTCTTTTATACTCTTAATCTTTTCAGTACAGTACCTTTATTACCCTGTCCACAGCCTTGAGACAGGGTATTAGCTTTGGACCTGTGTATGTGGGGTGGGGGGGGGGTATATTTCCCCCAAAATAATTCCAAAACAGGTTTACAGACTTGCACCAAACTTAATGGTTCTAGCCACATGTGACAAGGTCCACATGATAAGCTTTAGATGCAAATAATGCCAAAATTTACCAAGTTTTGCCATGGTAACAGTTCATGTAATGATAAATCATAGGATTTCTAGGGGTTTAAAGAAAATTATGATACAAGACAATCTCCTGCAGTGACTACATTAATTTACAGTACAGTAATCGTGTCACAAGTTTGATGTTTACTTTGCCATAGGATTATGTATAATTTTTTTTTATTTTTCAATAAGCAGAGCTTAAAACATTTTATTTAATTCAATTTCCTGCTCATGAAGTTTTATACCAGACAATGACAAACAAACTAATGATGTGGCTGCCCAACAGAGGTTGACATTCTGCTATAATTAATAATTTTCTGAGTTTAAAGTATTGATCCAAGGCATTGTTTGGAATTTTTACATTATCCAACTCTATAGATCACGGGGCAAGTACTGACACAAGCAGATCCAACTGACTACTTTTTTAATAAGAGTGCAGGTCGTGGGATGTTAAAAGATATCTGCTGTCTGAGTTCTTGGGTTGAATTTCTATCATATTTTTTCAAATGTTTCAATTTTCTGAGTCTGCAGGGTAACTGATTAAGAGATTTTTGTAGTTTTCTATATATTTAATTCCCAATGAAAAAAAGTAAAAATATATTAAACTAGTAGCAAAGAAGTTTTAATAAAATTATTCTTGTTACAGTTTTGCATATAGAGTATTGTGTTCCTATCTAAGAGGTTATTTATTTTCTGTTGCATTTTGTCTACTCATTATCTCTTTTATTTGTCCTGGTATGATGGGTATTTTTTTAAGAGCTGTTAAGTGCAGTCACTTAACACATCTTCTTCACCCTCTTTTTGGTCCTGTGCGTGTTTTTCCTAAAAGAATGATCTTTCTTCTTTTTGCAGCCACTTGAATGTTGAATCTGTATACTAAACTTGGTTATGAATTTTACTGATTAATATTATTTTTCTACTCTCTCCTCAGTATGCAAGCCAGTAACAGCAGGTGGTGGAGTAGAAGCACATGAGGTAAGAATTTGTTGTTGGAGAATTCTGTACATAATGACTCCAGCAACTTTAAGGGCCACTTCTTTACTTTATTTTAAGACCTAATACAGGGCCTCTTTCCCTGCTGAATAAGATTGCCTGGGCAAAGAGGTTAATGCAGTACAGGTCAACAAACAGGTTTGGGACTGGATTTTTTTTTAGTTTAACAAATTTATTGACAAAGCTTGGAGTACAGTTTGCCTATTCTGAGTAATTCAGTCAGGTCTTGACACTGAGGGTGGTATCACTTCTCACTGCCACGCAGGACAGAGGTTCATACACAAAGACATGTGGGTCACTGTTCACTGCCATGCAGGACAGAGGTTTGTACACAAAGAAATGCATCATATTCATTAGCAGTATATATAGGTCAGAGTCATGTGGGTTATGTCACTGTTCGCTGCCATGCAAGACAGTGGTTTATATACATTGGACGTCGTATTCTCTTTGAAGACTAATCAGTGTGGGCTAGCAAATTTGGGATAAACAGCAAGAATGTCCCCAAGCACCCCCGATTCAATATAGTAATTACAAAGTTCATGATACAATGAGCAAGGTGTCCTGAAGTTTTTGACAGTGTCACGTTCAATAATATAGTGTTCAAGTGTATGCTTTAAAGGTTTATCACAAGGTTTACATGCTGAGTGTTCCGGTATGGGTACAGCGTTACTAACTTGCCAGATGTGTCTGTATCCAAGCCTAATTCTGGCCACGACTACATCACATTGTCTGGTTCTGTCCTTATGCTGGCCGTACCAGTACCTCTCGCCACAAAATTTGTCATATTTACTAATGCTACAACTAACAGGTCTGTCTGCATTTCTCAGTTCTTCTAGATCAGAGTTCATGATTCTGACTTGAATGTTTTTAAGTACAGCATTGGACAGGCCAAGGTCACAGTCAACATTTTCTTTCTTATATGTCTTATTGGCCAGTCTATCACCACGGTCATAATACCTAATTCCAACATGGGACGGAATCCACACCATTCCGATACGAGAGTTGTTCTCATTGGCAGTTATCACATTTCTTTTAATATCACATACAACTTTAGACATAGAGCCTGTCGGCTGTTCATTGATTTCAAAGCACTTTGAGAGTCACAGATTATCCCCCCACCTCCATTTTCTTTAAGGTAGCCTGTAGCTAAGTAGATTCCAGTTAGTTCAGTTTGTGTTGTGCTGGCCCAGTTGTTCAGCCTTTGCTTGTTTGACACTATCATCTCTTTTTCTTTATTTATTACAATTGCACAGCCTGTTCTACCTGTGTTTGACTGGAAGATCATTTCATAAAGTGATATGAATGAGGGAGATCATCTTATCGCCCTTTATAATTTGTTTGTATGGTGTCCATTTGTGTGATGTTTATCAAGAACATGACCACTGTGTTAATTGAGGGCCACTTTTAATCTAAAAAAAATTCCAGAATTTATTACCTTCCTGAGGATCAATAAAATTGCTAATTTGAATAAGTTTTGATATCGTTCATAAAATGTATATTTTTATGTGGTAAATATGCTTAATTTCTGTGCTGGAGTTACTGACCTGGGTCCAATAACTGCCGGGAGATCTGAGGTCTATACCAACTATTGTAAAAATGATTCACAAATGGTTCATTATATATATATATATATATATATATATATATATATATATATATATATATATATATATATATATATATATATATATATATATATATATATATATATATATATATATATATATATATATATATATATATATATATATATATATATATATATATATATATATATATATATATATATATATATATATATATATATATATATATATATATATATATATATATATATATATATATATATATATATATATATATATATATATATATATATATATATATATATATATATATATATATATATATATATATATATATATATATATATATATATATATATATATATATATATATATATATATATATATATATATATATATATATATATATATATCATATATATATATATATATACACACACAGTACTGTAGTTCAGTACGTTCTCGTATAACGCCTGCCCGCTTAATGTTGTTTCGGTACTATGTCGCTAATCTTTAGATAACAAAAATTTGTTTAACGTCCCGATGTCTCGGTACTACATCGTTTTGCGTCGTCACGGACTACTTTTTACGCATCACCCTCTCTCGTCTGGCCGCACTACATTCTCTTGGCTTGGCTGCTACCTCTCACTCGCGGAACATCACAGCGACGCCAAGCCAGTCTCTGTTACGACTTCACTTCATTCGTGTGTGCTTAAGTGCTTTTGCTCTAAAACTATACTCTAACCATTCGAAATGGCTTCCAAGTGCCCATCAAGTGCTAATGATGCTAGTGTAGTCAAGAGCCAACTTAAGACCATTACCATTGCTACGAAAATGGATGTATTAACCCATTTTGAAAAAGGGGAACGTGCTGTGGACATAGCCTCTGTACCTGGTCTAACCCCCACAACGGTGTGTACTATCTAGACCAACGCTGACATGATTAAGGTTAGTGCTGGAAGTGGTTCATCTCTGAGTGCTACTAAGACAACTCATACTAGAAGCACTGTGATAGAAAAGGTGGAAAAGATGCTGGCAATGTGGATGGAGGACCAGAATCAACGCAATGCCCCTGTGTGCCTTATGGTTATCCAGCATAAGGCCAGATCCTTGTTTTACGACATGAAGGAAACAGAGGGTGAAGGATCGAAGGAAGAGACCTTTACGGCCAGCCAAGGTTGGTTTAAACACTTTAAGCACCGTTATAACTTCCATAACCTTAAGATGACTGGTGAAGCTGCTAGTTCAGATACGGTTGCTGTCGAGACATTCCCGCCAGAATTCAAAAACATTATCCAGGAAGGAGGCTACTCATCAAAGCAAGTCTTCAATGTGGATGAGACTGGTCTCTTTTGAAAGAGGATGCCTGAGAGGACCTATATCTCTAAGGAGGAGAAAAGAGTGCCAGGTTTTAAAGTAGCAAAAGACTGCTTGGCGCTGCTGCTTGGCGCAAACACTGTCGGCGACTTCAAGCTGAAACCTACACTGATTTCTCCCGCTGCGAACTCACGGGCCCTGAAAAGTTACTCTAAGGATCACCTTCCTGTCATTTACAAGGCAAATAAGAAGGCATAGATAACCGGCGCCATATTTAGCCAGTAGTTAAATGTGTATGCTGTCCCTGCATTGGAGGAATACTGTGCCAAGGAGAACCTTGACCTCAAAATTCTTCTGATCCTTGACAATGCTCCAGCTCGTCCTCCCAATCTCGATGACTTGCATGACAGTGTAAAAGTTGTATTCCTGCCTCCCAACATGACAGCACTGATGCAGCCTATGGACCTAGGCGTCATCGCCACATTCAAGGTGTATTATTTACACCGTACCATGGCCCAGCTGCTCAAGGCTACAGAAGGAGAAATCAAACCCACGATCCGAGAATATTGGCGTGGCTTCAACATTCTTCATGCAATTGACAACATTGGCAAGGCATGGGAAGAGGTTTCAGAAAGTTGCCTGAATGGTGTGTGGCGTAAATTGTGGCCCAAGTGCATCAACAGTTTTATGGATTCATGGGCTTAGTCCCAGTAGTGAATAGAGATATCCTCTGCTTGGCTAGACAGGCAGGCTTTGATAAGCTGGAATCTGAGGATATTGAGGATATCCTGGCATCCCATACAGAAGAGCTCACCAATGAGGATTTGCAACAACTAACAGAACACATTCCCGTTGAAGACGACGACGAAGAAGAAATTGCACAGTCAACGCTGGATTAATTTTTTCGTCACGGGATGGCAGAAGTAGCAGCAGCACCTTCACAACAACCGGCAAGCAAGGAGAAGCAAACAACAACGGAGGAGGAGCAAACAGTGGTGAAGGAACCCCAGTCAGCGGAGGAGGAGGCAGCCGCAGAGTCTCAGTGACTCACCACCCTCCTCCTCTCCCGCTGTCCTCTCCTCCTGCCATACTCCTCCCCTCCTGCCATACTCTTCCCATCCCGTCATCCGCCTCCTCCGCTTCACTCCCCATCACACACTCACTCTACCACCTCCGCCCATCGGTGAGTACCCATACAAACTTAGTAGTTGTATATGTATGCACTATTTTCTGTAGAAATGGCAATGATTTTCTGTATATGTGATGTATTTCATGGGGCAAAGGGAGGCTCAGGAACGTAACTCCCGTATTTTATCTATTTCTTATGGGGAAATTGATCCGCTTAACGTTGTTTCTTGCAAAACATATTTTTCCATAAGTTTTGGTTACAGGTTAACCATTGCCCTCCAGTATTACCCAATCATTAGTTCCATCTTCATTAGTGATGCTTGAAGTACTATCTGGCAGTTGTGTGCGTTTTGGCAGAAGCTTACAAGACCTCCAGAGTCACCATAAGTTACGAAGGAAAGTCGGCCTTTTTAAATCGACTTGTGGACTTCATAAATCTTTAGTGAATCACCACTGCAGGAGATATGAACTCCTAAAGCACTTACAATGTGCATAACCTGTTAGTGAATCTTGGCCCTGTAGTTTTTGCTCCACCTTTACTTACTCCAGAAATATTGGTATTATAAAAGTGTTTTCCTTTTCAGATGGCTGTAGTGTTTAATGAAAAGGGCATTTCTGAATGCACGTTACCATGTGTTGCGCAGTCGTTCATTAACCATGGAGCTGTTCTCTACAAACTCTTTGTCCTGGGACCTGTGTGGTTTGTTATTGTTCGCCCATCACTCAAAAACTTCTATGCCGGAGGTATCAAACTTTTCTTGCTGTTTATTAGTTATAAGATATTAACAGGTTAAAGAGGGCTGTCAGAATAGGAAGTCAATGGCATCTGTACATTGAAATATGTACAAACAATATTCTAGTTCATTTTAAAGTCATATTTTTTATATTTTTGTTTTGCTCTTAGTTAATTAGTAACATATTTTTACTTTAATCTTGTTTTCTATTACATGGCATAGATATTTATTTTTTGTATTATTTTTAATTACAATACAGTATTGTACTGTCTTGAAAGATTTTAATTTGTAGATTTTCCTCCATGTGCATTCTTATTACAGAACCCTCTCTTGTGCTGAGAATTCTAGCTGGGGTTATTTAAAAAAAAACTATTAATAAATATTAAGATGATGTGAATATCCATTTACAGTAGAAATTTGACACTTGAAACTGATAGGGCAGTCAAAGTTGGTGAACAGTTGAAAATGTAGAAGGGAAAAAATCCATATCAACAAAACTACTTTGTGAATTGTGAGGATTGTGGGTAGTTACTGTGTAGATTTTTATGATGGGTGGGAAGGGGGAGGGGTTTCAGTAGAGGTCCTGGGATGCAACCCTGTTAAATACCTGTAATAAATGGCTCTCTTTATGGGAAATCATTACCTCTGCTTAAAAGCAACCTTGCCCAACACAGCTGAGCTCTCCCCCAAAGACATAAACTATTTCAATATATTTGTTAGCTCATCTTAGCACTAACTTCTACCATACTCCTGGACAGCTGACTAAGGGCTCGTTTACACGATCAGTCTCGGAGCATGTTTTCGAAGCATGGTAACGAAGTCGTGCTCGGGCAGTGATCGTGCAGACGGCAACACTGAACCACCAACACCTTCCCGGGCAGTTACGTGTGGGAGCCTAATAGTTGCGTGGCCACCTACGTGCTTCGCCACTGATCTGTAGCGTGCTAGACCACCATACGTGGTAACTGATTGTGTAAACGAGCCCTAAGATTCCTCAAGCTCATCCGTCCGCACTCACTCACCCAACCACCTACTCACTAAGATCCCTTCCACCCACCAACACTGCCACTCATCCACTCACACAAAGCCACACACATGACCTAACCCAAATGCACCTTACCTGACACTGCTGAGTTAACCCAGTAGAGGTCCTGGATTGCGTGTTGTAGCAGACCAGTGAAAATGTATAGTTTTATCACATTTCCATTCCAATTTATAATTATCTGAAAAGCCTGATGACAAAAGATGATAGAGGCAAAGTAACAAACTTCCACTGTAAGATTAAATTAATTAAAGGTATAGTAGCTAGTACTGTACTTGCTTATCATTGCCATTAATCAGTCATGCTCTGTTGGCTGCACCATGTGTGTGTGTCAATAGAGTAGTTTAAGAAGTCAGTCAGTTTCCTATTCAATGTCCTTCTCTTCATCATGAGTCCTATGTGGGCAAAAGCAGAACATTGTTATAAACAAAAATCCATATTATCTTTTTCTTCATCCCATCCTCTTCCACCTTTACTTGACCTGACTTGGGGTCCTGTGGTTTTGGGTACTTGTCAATCAATTGAGAAAACCGTCCTCATATCTGAGGGTTGGCGACCACAGTTCTTCACTCTAAAACATTCTCAGGCTGTTTTTACCAATCCTCCAAGGTTTTGTATCTCTGGGCACCCAGTTTTTAATTTCATTCATCCATCCCAGTTTGTATCTCCCCATGGCCTTCTTCCCTCAACTTTGCCCATTAATATTTGTTATTATCCCCTCATTCCTAATAATATGACCGAATAAGGGTGTAGTGAGACTATTTCTGGACACATTCATTTTCATCCTGCATTGCTTGACCTGCTGATATATTTACCTAATGGTGACTGTGCTGCGCTATCTTCATCACACAATATTATGACACAATAGCCCGATTTCTTCAGTCTTGTTCACATGCTGCAGTACAGTATTTAACTTCTGGTGACATCCTATGATATTGGAAGACTTTGAGCTTCTGGTTCTTATATTCACGGCATTTTCATTTCCACAAAACTTTGCACATGCTATTCCTCATAACCTGTGGCACCCAAGTTCTATCATAAGGTGGAAATACATCCTGATGTTGACTTGACCTCATTTTCAAAATGTTATTGCTAGTAGTGACTTCAATTTCATAAATCCTGGATATCCTACTTCCTCTTTTACTAATTGATGTGTGATGGTGTTCTTTAGCACCAAAATGCTTCTCAAATACCTGTAGATGCACATCTTGACCTCTAAAGCAGGCCTGATTAGGTTTTATGTTATTTTAATGGAATAATAAAAAAGATAAAAAATCATCCTACATGTAAGGAGACCCAGGCTATTTGCCCTGCAAATTACATCTGATAATGGTTGATATAAATACTTGCTTGCCCACTCATAGGTATAGAAAAGCATCTGTAATCTAGATAATTCTCATGTTGGAGGAAAAATCAGATAATGCTACAACTCTTTTTCTTTAGTCTTTGTTTTTATTCATTGATCATATTTTATTTTTATTTTATTTTAACTGTGCTTGCATGATTATGTGAATATATTAGTTTAGATCTATAGGTTTTCCTCAGTGATCATTATTTCCTTGTTTCATAATATTATTTTCTTTTCAGTTGATGGTTGCTTTGATATTAACAAGCTTGCAGGTACATCATATATATATATATATATGTACAGTAATATAGTAGAATTAGTGTAGACTTGGGGTATTCCTTGTCCAATTGTAAAATGAATAGGTGTGAAATATGGCATTGAGCCTTGTTGTATCAATCTTAGGTTGTAGAGGACTAGTTACACATCTTTCACACCAGCTTCTCCTGATTTTCCTTATTGATTTATGCTTGTTTTAATGTAAAGTTGCCAGCAAAAGTCCTCCCACAAACTTGCTACACAGGGCTGTGGGGGAACTTTTGCTGGCAACTGTACATATGTCAAGAAATTTATTGGTCTGGAAGAATGCTAAGTTCAGCTGTCATTTTGCTGTAAGTTACTGCTGCCTTTTGTGTGCATATGCACTCACTGTTTCTTTATTTTTTAATATCATTTTTAAATTTAGATTACAGTGTACAGGGTGTATCAATAAAATGTTAACACACTACTCTATAGACTGCTGAGGAGATTGCGTGAATGCTTTTATTACAACAGCAACATTGTCCTTGTGTGTGGAACACCTCTCACATCAACAAGTGAGGACAATGTTGCTGTTGTAATACATTATTAAATATTCACATGATCTCCATGAAAATCTGTTAGGCAATGTGTATTAGTGATGCCACGAAGCTTCGCATTTGCAACTGCATAAATTTTCACAACCGCCACAACCACACGAATCCACGTGGTTGTTGGAGCTGTGAAACAATCACAAACGAGGGTTGAGAGCTGAGAAATTCATTGGGCAGTGGGGCCCTCCAACCACTATGTTGTCTTTATGTACAAAATGCTACAATAATAGATACAGTGAACAATGTATTTATATCTTTGCAGTGATAAATCTTGAGTAACTTACTGAATTACAGATGACCATTTGTGACATTTTTTACACATGGAGTATAAAAAAGTATAAGTATTGGATAATCTGATGAGCAAAAACCTCTTGTTTTCCCCCATTATAAAGCCATAATTTTAAGCAAAACATGACTCTACTTTAATGTACGAATTGTACTCAAATATACGAAGTTAATTACTAAAAAATATATTTCTAGTGCAAACTAAGGGATGTTTATACTCAAATTAATTGCTGTCTTGCAAGAATACCGGCAAAGCAAGTTATATTCTGCTAAGTCGGTGACATTTTATAAGAGTTAAAATTAAATTCCCTGTCTTGTATAGTCCTGAGTCCCTGATCTGTACCACCCCTCCTCCACCACTGACAACTTAATCTCCCCTTGCTGGCTGTGAACCTTCCCTTCCCCCACTCCTCCCAGCCAGCAGGGGAGGCAAGAGGGTGGTGATCAGGATTTTACAGGGTGAATTTGGTTTAGGCTTAAAGTGTTTCTCTTACAAAATGTCAGACTTCACATTGCTGAATATAACTTCCATTACTGGAATCCTTGCAAGATTACAGTTAATTTGAGTATAAACATCTCATAGTTTGCAGTAGAGATAAAATTGTTAGTCCTTTCGCTTAGTACATTTGAGTATAAGTTGTACACTAAAGTAGAGTAATATGTTGCTCAAAATTATGGCTTTTACACAGGGAAAAATCAAAGGAAGATAAGTTTGAAAGTTCACACAGGTTACAGCATTAATCCAAGCTTAAGGTTAAACTGAACAACCGCAACTGCGCAGTTGTGACTTCCTGACAACCACAACTGCAGAGCTTTGAAATCTGACAACCGTGGCATCACTAGAGTGTATACATTTTTCTGAGACACTTTGTATATATTATTAAAGAAATAAGGAAAGATAGAAATGACATTTAAGAGTGAAAAGGGAAATGTTTAGCATAAAATAAAGAGGGAGATTAGGACATGGTTTTGAGCAAGTGCTAAATGTGACAGATGGCAGATGAAAAACTAATAAAAGACAATACTGTAGTGAACAGGTTATGTATGACTAAGGGAAGTGTATAAAAAGAATGGCAGAGCATATACAGTCACCCAGTACATGTGTAAAGGAAAAGATGTCATTAATGATCATAACATATAAAGAGGAACAAATTTAGTTGTCAACATTCATGTGAAGCATCGGCTACACTCATGTGAGACACCTGCTACAACATCACCATCCATGTGAAGCAGCAGCTACAACAACACCCACGTGAAGCAGCAGCTACAACAACACCCACGTGAAGCAGCAGCTACAACAACACCCACGTGAAGCAGCAGCTACAACAACACTCACGTGAAGCAGCAGCTACAACAACACTCATGTGAAGCAGCAGCTACAACAACACTCATGTGAAGCAGCAGCTACAACAACACTCATGTGAAGCAGCAGCTACAACAACACTCATGTGAAGCAGCAGCTACAACAACACTCATGTGTGAAGCAGCAGCTACAACAACACTCAAGCAGCCACAACAACACTCATGTGAAGCAGCAGCAGCAGCTACAACAACACTCATGTGAAGCAGCAGCTGAAGCAGCAGCTACAACAACACTCATGTGAAGCAGCAGCTACAACAACACTCATGTGAAGCAGCAGCTACAACAACACTCATGTGAAGCAGCAGCTACAACAACACTCATGTGAAGCAGCAGCTACAACAACACTCATGTGAAGCAGCAGCTACAACAACACTCATGTGAAGCAGCAGCTACAACAACACTCATGTGAAGCAGCAGCTACAAACAACAAAAATATTTCCTACTCCACTCCATCTTGTCTTCCTTTGATGTATTTATCCATTCAGTATTTAGTATGAAATGAAAGAAATATAACAAGGTCGAATGCCATTAGTTAATTTTTAATTTGATATTTACAGACAGTATGTAAAATTGTTGTTATACTGTATAATGAAATTATTGTAGTAACATTCTTAATATCCCAAGTCTGCAAAATGGCAATACAGTATTGTTAGCAATTAATTTTTATAATTTCCACAAATTTTTTTTTTTTGGTTTAATTATTTGCATTTAAGTTGATTTCTAATTATGTAAGAGTTTCAACTTGTTTAGAATAAGAATGTTGTGTTGCCCATTTAGGTTTATTTTTTTTTGTGTAGCAAAAAACTAATTGGGTACAGTATACTGTAACTCATTAATAAGAAACTATTGTATTCCTTGTTGAAAGTTGGAGCAAATGAGTTGAGTATGAAAATGAGGAAATGGATGAAGATGAAACACTGATGAATATCTTGGTAAGCAGAATGAATATTTGTGTAGTCCCAAGCACTATATAGTTGGCTGATTCCAGAAGGGAACTTAACTCTGCTAATACAGGAGTTGACCATTATACGTTAGGGTTAGGGACTCGGAAAAGCTATCGTCATTTGATTGATCATAAATTGATGTAAATAATTTGTAGGGAAAATGGATTCTGTTCCTGAGACCCGGAAAGAGCCATAGTTATCACTCAGCGCGGTTATTTTTCAACTCATAATTTTGGGTAGACATGCTGTACTTATTTTTTTTACCTATTTACTTGCACACACAATATTTCATACAGAATGTGTAAAATAAAATTAATGATTATTATAAGGTAAAAAACATAGAGGGAATAAACATTTCTTACTAATTTATAATATCAACTGCATCAGAAAGATGGTACTTTGAGGTATATATATATATATATATATATATATATATATATATATATATATATATATATATATATATATATATATATATATATATATATATATATATATATATATATATATATATATATATATATATATATATATATATATATATATATACAAAGGAAGATCTTTCTGATGCAATTTATATTTGAAATTAGTGATTTTGCCATAAATAAAAGAAATTGGAGTTTTTAATCCAAATTATATTATATTGTGGCTACTTATCCCAGTTCTGCATTAAAAGTCTTTCTGCACTTTACTTTAGTAAGGTTACAATGATTTACTATCATACTCTTTAACATATGAGCCTAACAAGTGTTTTTAAAATTATTTTTATCTATATTCAACTGAATTAATGTTTCAACATATCCAAATGACTTACTCAGTACAGTACTTTATACTGTACTGCAAATACTAATACACGTTTGTGAAAAAAATATTTCTTCTCATAAGTTCCAGTATACACTTCTATACATTATTGTAAAATTAAATTGGTATTAAATTTGTATTTGTAATTTTCATGGGTTTAAGTTTTCATTCTACCTGCCAATTCATGTTACATGTAGTGTACAGTATGACAATATTGTTAACAAGAACATTGATTCATGTCGTCTTAATTAAAGTATGGTTTTGTATTTGGAGCAGAGCAGGAAACTGTGCACTTCAACTCCAACAATGTGTCTAAGGCAGATTCTCAGTCTCCACTCACTCAGTTAGATCCCAGTGATATGAAAGAAGATTTACCAAAAGCTGACCCAGCAGTGTTTAACAGGTATATATGTATCTTGTTTTAATTTATGTAATAGTTTGTCATTAAGAGTAACATTTTCATCAATATCATCTTCAAACATTCAAATTACACATCAGTGAATACTTACAGTACTCAACTTTTATGTTGTTCTGGTGAAATATCTTGTCTGCATAACTTTACTGTACAATATCATTTATATTTAATAGTAATCACAGGCTTCTCTGTCGGTGTTTATACAAAGGTGTATGAGGAAATATTTTTAGGATTTACTTGAAGGAAAAAAAATAAAATCCCTTTGTTTCAATTTTTATTTGTCTCTGCCATTAGTGTTACCGTATTGTACTTCAAACATTATTGTGCAGTATTCACATTTCATATACACCAGTGGTCCCCAACCTTTTGTAAGTTCTGGCGACATCATAGTAGGTATTTACCAAACAGGGAGGTACTACCGCCTGTGAAGATATTGGAAGCATAATGTGTTGTCTAATGGTAGACCCTGCTGCCATATGGCATCACGAAAATTGTGACCAAGTCCCAGGTTGCTGATCTGACTTTCTGCTTCATTTACACACAATTGCAGGGTCTCAATTGTTTCTCTTACCATTGAAAACACAACATACATATATTGTTTCTCACTTTTGATCTTTTTTTTTCATTTTTGTATTTATAGTTCTTTATTATTAATATTATTATTATTATTACAGTTACTGTATTATTATCATCATTATTTTATTATTTAATTTTGTTTGTTTTATCATAAATTTTATTTATTATGAATTATTATGATTATTATTTATTATTATTATTATTATTATTATTATTATTATTATTATTATTATTATTATTATTATTATTATTATTTATTATTTATTATTTATTATTATTATTATTATTATTATTATTATTATTATTGTTATTATTATTGTTATTGTTATTGTTATTGTTATTATTGTTATTGTTATTGTTATTGTTACATTTTCGCCCCCCGGGCCCCGATGTGGGTCAGTGACCTGTGTCCGGGTGGGCTGGTCCCCGTAAAAAAACAAAAAAAAAATATAGTGGAGGGCGCCAAAACTTTGGATCTACGTTCAAGAAAAAATCATATATACTGTACAGTTATTTACAGTTTTACACATCTAACTGTTACCAGTTACATTCTCTCTCTCATGAATACATGGGGCTGAACTGACACACAGTAAAAAGTATCCATGTTAATGCATGGTTATAGGTTTTTGTCATTTTGACAAATAAAACACTCATGTGAAAGAGGCCTATTACTGTACATATAGTAAGGTCTCTTATTACGTGTGTTTTCATAGCCCGATTTGGTTGTAAGGCGATGAATGTACAGCAAGTCCCCATTGAACGAAAGGGTTAGGTTCCACTAAAATGCTTTCATTAGGTGGATTATTTTCATCAAAACCATTTTTCCCTTATAAATTAATGTAATAAGGGGGGATGTGTTCTTGTACTAAGCTCAGTGATAGATTAATATATTGTACTAAGCTTTGTGACAAAATAATTTCAACACATCAAATACTGAAGATAAAAACAATAAAACATAAAGGTACATAAACAGAGTTGTCAATTGTTGTTTGTGGGAATATTAATTCATTCACTCTAGTAATGATACAATGTTTCTTATTATGTTGTTGTAGGTAAATGCATGGTTTATATAATTTGTTTATCACTGAGCCTGTCACCATTTTCAAATTAGACTGCATACGAAATATGTATTTCTCCCATACATACACCTGGCTATGCCTGGCAACAGGAGTGGGTAAGGGGAGTGAATGACCCAAGTTGAGCATCATCTGCAGTTATAACTCTCCTCTTCTCTGCCATATGTCACTGGATTTACTGTTATTATTAGTGTTTACTGATATAATAATGATTAATCATGGCATTGTAGCTAGGTTAGACTCGTCAGCAACCACCAAGCTACTGGGCCAAGCTGTGAGGTGTTATGGTTGTTTTTCAACTCGTACTTTCGTGTACATATACGTAACTTTCTTCATATATTTTTACTCCGTTACATGTAAACACCACCCTACAAATATATTGTGAAAAAAAATTAAAGAAATAATTGTCCTGTGGGCAATCACATAAGGGAATATACATTTCTTTGCACATGAGTTAGCTGGCTCAGTGAGGGAGAGGAGGGGGCTGTTGCTAGGGAGACGGAGGAGCTACCAGCTGGTCTCCGTTGCTATGGTGAACCAGGGAGTGTATGCAAATGGCGACTGTGTTAAACTTTCATTTGCCTTTTATTTTCTGGTTTGGTAATACAATATTTTTTTGTTGTACAATATTGTATCATGATGACAGTCACAGTAGAATGAGTGAGAGAGACAGATTGTCGGTGAGATGCAGTGGGTGGGTGGGAGGGAGGGAGGAAGGTGATATGATTTAGGTGGTGATAATAGAAATAGTGGTGGTAATGGTGGTGAGAAAGGTGGGGATAACTTACCTATCATAATAGTAGAACATTCTTTGGTTAATCGGCAAATGGGGATTCATTCAAAGGATGCAATTTGGATATAACGCAATTGATTAAATGGAACTATGTCACTTGAGTAGGAATAAGCGGTTATGCAGTCACATGGGCGCAGCATCATTCGAGGTGGGATACGCCACCCTTGCAGCTTTTGTTTACCTTTTATGCGCATCAGACGTCTGTCATCATGGACTGTGCTTTAACTTAATACAGTAGAACGTCGATTTAAAGAGATTCAATTTAAGATTATTGATTTAAAGCGACACCCATAATTAAGGACAATGTTTTAATTTAAAGCGAATCTTTCCTATTTTGCGAGAGTCAATCTGGTGCATCATATTTTCAAATTCGCACCTAATGTTTCTCTGGGCACACTACACTGTCCTAAGGGCAAAGCTGTACTGTACATGTACTCAAAATAATGGACTAAATGATTAGTAAAATTTTTGTCTAGTGCAAACTATAGTATGATTATATTCAAATTAATCACTATCTTATAAGAATTCCAGCAATGTAAATTATATTCTCCCCGGTCACTTCTGTGACATTTTATAAACAAAAAACATAAACTCAATCTAAAGGATATAAATAAACAAATAAATACTTCACTAGACCTTCGGCACCAACTGTCAAACATGTCACTGTCATCCCCCCATCTTCCCAGCCAGGGTTGGGTGGTTATAGGCGTAAAGTTTTTATCTTATATAATATCACAGACTAAAGTTAGGAGAATATAATTTGCATTACAGGAATCCTTGTAAGACAGCAAATAATTTGAATATAACCATCATATATTTTGCAGAAGAGATAAAAATTTTAGCCCTTTGTAATAAAATTATTTAGAACATGTCAGTTCAGTGACATTTTATAAGAGAAAACTTAATCACTCTTAAAGACAGATAAATAAATAAGCACTAGACCTTGGCATCAACTGTCAAACATATCACCTCACCTCCCCCCATCTTCCCATCATCTGTAAACAGACCATTTCACGTCCCATAATTTTAGCTGTGTTGATTTATGAGTGTTTGTTTTAACATAATACTACAAAAAACAATGTTTTGTTTATTCTAGTAGATGGGCTGAGGTGCATCTGGGTAGACTTTCAGTCTTTTTAGTATTTTGTGTTTCTCTCAAGTACCAAACTAAATTATTCCATTGAAACAACACTTCGATTTAGTGCTAATTCAGTCTGAAGCGACCTCTCTTGGAACGCATCCGTTGTTATATCGACGTTCTACTGTACAAGTACTGTAGTACTCTATCAACTTTATTGCTTTCTATTACAATTAGTGGCAAGGGTGTTTAGCATTCTGGTACAGTATTGGAAGTAATGCAAGTGAAGTAAAACAAAGAAAAGTTATAACTCTTGGACAAAACTCAGAAGTGATTAAGTGGTATAAACCCTCACCTCCATCATCAGACTGACTCCACCTCCTCCATTTCCTCCTCCACCACTCGTCTCTAACAACAATTTTCTCTTCTTGTGGCGAGTCAAAAATTTTTTTTTAATTTATTTACCGTATTTGCCAGCGTATAAGACTCATTTTATTTTTTTTCACTATCCCAGATTATCCTGCGTCTAATGCGCCCGTATTACGGATGGGAGGCCGTAGGCGGAGGCGCCTAGCTAGGGAGTCTGGGACGAGCAGTAGTCCACTAAGCACAAAAATTGTGTTACTAATAATATTACCTATACTAATAATAAAATACTGAAAAACAAGCCAAATTATCACAATCTATTATCACAAACTTGAGGCAAATTTGCTGAAGACGTAAATAATGGCTTCGGCAGAGGGAAGCTCAACATTTCACTGTACCTTCTTCCCCAGCATATGTAACCCACACCAGATACATGTCTTTCATTATTTAACGACTGTGTTACCTTTAAGAAACATTTGTTTATTATCTAAATGAAAAATGACCCTAGAAAGATTAAAGAAATGTTAACAGAAACTTCAGCCGCCAGTCAGCCATTTGCAATAAGTCGATGACGCCAAAACAATAGCGATGGTGCTACACCCTTGTGGCCGATCATGGCAACGAAAAAAAATCGCAGCTAAAAGTACGAGTTGCACATCCTGTCGATAATTCTCTTGACCAAAATATAAACAAGCCACACAGCTGCTCTGATCAGAGGTAGAGTTGGGTTAATATAATGTTACTACAGTATACTAATGAGATGCGTTCCCAAGTGTGACCTTTTCATATCTTTTGTGTGGCTTTTTACCCTCTTTTCCCCCCAAAACAATACAATTAATGAAAATTGTAAACTATATTCTTTAAATAATGTTTCTGAATGCACCTTGTACAATATAAATGAATACTAATATGGTCACACAAGAGTAGATGGGACGCCATTGTTTTCGTTTGTGTTTACAGCCGGGAGTCCGGGACAATAGTTCTACACGAGAAAATTAAGAAAATAAGACCCTGGTTGTAGCTGTAGTAAAATGAATGTAAAATAAAATTTATGTACGTATATGATTTAAGTAACGTTATTTAATGTTAATAAATGGAACAATAGAAGTAACTAACCACTAATGGTAAAGAAAAAAAAGAGATGGATTGGGAACGCCAACATATATGTGCACGTTTAAGGATACCGCGTCATTTATCTTTTTAAGAATATGTACAAAAGATTCATTATTGTTTATTATTGAATATGTATTTGATTGAATTAATCTTTATATTCCGGTATGTGAAATGAACAATACATTTCATGAATAATACATAGAATATTATAACACACAAGAGGAGACAAGACGGCATTGTTTTCGTAAGTGACGATGGTTCTACATAAGAAACTGAAGAAAATAAGACCCTGGTTGTAGCTGTAGTGAACTTAATTTAAAAAAATTGAATTCCTGGTTGTATGTTTTAAGTTATGTTATTTAATGTTAATAAATGGGACACTAGAATTAGCTAACAACTAATGGTAAAGAAATAAAGCGAGACGATTGGGAACGCCAACGTATGAACAGTAAGTGCATACATGTGAAAACATATCATTTCTCTACATATGAATATGAAAGCAACACTTATTTACTGTTCATATATGTTTTAAATAATATTTACGAATGTAAAACAAAAATTCTACTCACCAATGGTGGTAAAGTCTAAAACTTAAGGACAGCCAATGAATATTGTGCGAGCTTTTACTCAGATGACGAAGTCATCAGGTTCAACTCTGGCTGAAGCTGTAGGTTCCATAAAGCTGTTGCTGAAACTGTTACTGAACCTGAAGTTGATGTTGAAGCTGCTATGATGCTGAATTTGACGGTGTAGCTGAAGTTGATGGTTTAGGCCTTCGAAAAATAAAGCTCTCGAAAGAACCTTGCACAGCTGCTTTCTTATTCACATTATACATCCTTATGTAGAGGTCATTTGTGTTTATTTAAATTTTAATGCTTTTTTCTGTTAATGGATCCACTTCAGAAAATATGTTCATTGCTTGCTCCATATAATATCCACAGACCTCTCACCTTTTTCATATCGTTTTAACACATCTAGTGTCTCGGCTAAGTTTATACACTTTCTATTAGCTTTTGAAACAAGACTACCATCACTTGCTCTCTTACTCATGTTGAATAGGGATGCAAAAATGCTGTGAGAAACCTGAGAAAGTTTTTCTCCTGTTCCTGTTCCAGATGCGTGAAAACAAAAGGCCCGCCAAGCTCCGACTGTTGTTTACCACTCATTTTCCAGGCAGCTTCTTTGTGCAAGATGCTCTTCATTTTTTTTACAGTAATTTTTTTTTTATAATACATACTGTATCTGGATTTAGTTATTATTTATTTGAAAATGTAATTTTATTTAATTTTAATATATTTTTGGTCGTAAATACGAATGAAATAAGGACGTAAATTGAATTGGGTCCTAAGTTATCTAGGGTCTTAAATATGAAAAGTTGGTGGTCGAACCGTTGTTAATGGAGGCTTTACTGTATATTGTATTTACATGCACAAAATCATATGCTTTCCCCTACAAAACCACCTTAAAATCACTTTCAATAATTGTATGACGAAACATACCAAAAAAAAAATCCACAAAATACCCTTGTAAAATAGGGGTGCGTCTTATGCGGTGGTGCGTCTTATATGGCGGCAAATACGGTACATTTCTTATATGGTTAAAAATCATTAAAGGCTGTTAAGTGAGTCACACTCCACTACGTATCATTTTTGTTCTGCACCCTCCTTCAAGGTTCCGTTTTCTATCACATAGCAACGTAGACTTAGCACACTTTAACAAACATTTGTCCCCTTCTTCATATTTTTATTTTATTAATGAATGATATTAAACTAAAACACAGTTACAGTATTGTAAAAGAACACAAAAACTAATAATAATATGAAAGTGAAAGTGTGTCCCATGTCAGTCATGTTGGTGTTCCCAAACCTACTACCCCCTAACCTCTTACTCCCATTTAATCTGTGGTCAGTACATTGCGATTTTTCTATTACGCAGTGTTTTCAGGAACACAACTACAGCGTTATGGGAGCACTAACTGTACACCTATACTGTATCTCTCATTATCTATATAAAAAGACAATGAGTTGCATTATATGTTGCTGAATACTTTTTGATGTTTTTTGTTTTATAACTTCTCTAAAACATTTAAAATTTCAGGATTGTAGTAGATCTTCGCAATGCACTTAATATGGATCTTCTGGGTATTGATGTTGTGATTGATAGCAGCACTGGAAAATATGGCATTATTGATGTCAATGCATTTCCCAGTGAGTACACAATAACTTGTTCTAAACTTTGATGCTTTTAATAGATGGTATGTAGATGGACCTCTAAAGAATCTCATCCTTCTTATTTGTTTTACAGTCTTTTACGTGCCTACTAATATTGCATAAGCAAGTGAATTTCTGTGTGCATTCCGATAATGGTGTGTTAAACATTCTAGGTTATGATTCGGTGCCTAATCTGATGGAACACCTTGTGGACCTCCTAGTTATGCGCATGAATGACTCGGCTCTTGCCAATACTACAAGAATAGTAGAAAGTAAGAGCAATTCGATCAATATGACTTCCCCTGACCATCCTCAGGAAGATTCTGGTGTAGATACTGGCTAGTGAAGTAACTCTTACTAAACATTTTTATATTTGCCTAGTCAAGTGTTCATGAATACAATACATTCCAGGTCTCTTGTCAGTTATAATGTTCAACAAATAGATTAAAAATGGGACATTATTGTGTGATTCACTATCTCAAATTTAGTAGAGACTTAAAAAATGCATATTTTGCATAAACTGCTCAATCTATTTTTAAGCATTTTTTGGGTCAAATTTTGTAGTAGGTAGTTTTTCTAAGGTTTAATTTTATTACTGAAGAGACTTCTCCATAGTTTTAGAATTGAAATGTCGACTTAGTAAGATGACATGAAACAACGAACTTGTTTAAAGGATACAGTATTAGAGATTGAGCCTTACAGTGATTATGTTATAGCTTACCGTACTTGTGTTTCCAAAGTTGTGTTTTTTAATGTTTTTGTGTTTTATTACATTCATTTATTCTGATCTGAATTTCATGTGGATGAATTTATGGTTCATTTTCACACTGAATGGAGTGTAGCTATAAGGTGGAAGGAAATTTACCCCCCTGGTACATGTAAGGTCTCGTAAGAGTATAAACCGAGTACTTACTGTATTGTTCTTTAGAATTATTATATTTTAGCCATACTTTGTATAGGATTGAATATATAACTTATTATTTTAGTGAAGAATTTTATATTAAAAGGTTGTGTTTAGGTTGCAGGATTAACGTTAGGCTAATTTTAAATATAGTAATCACTCTTGGCTGTTGTGTTGACGTTGTAGTGATGGTGCGGGATGATTACCTTCTTTTTCCAGTGTTTAGTGTGGATGATGACACAATAATGGGGATGTTTATATATACATACTGTTTGTGATGACATTATAGGATTGATGCAGACTTCATGTTCCCATCTGAATGTTTGTCTATATTGTTCACTTTACATAGGGCAAGTGAGCAGTTGCTGGTAGAATGTGGACCAAAATTTACCAAAAATTTTTATTTTTATTTTTATTTATTTTTCATTTTTACAACAGGTGTAATGGAGCATGTCCCTGCAAGTACTGTATTATTTTGTTGATATGTGATGTTTTGTTTACTAGATGTGGCCTCTCACGGCACACTTTGGTTTTCTGCTCTGTATCCCATTTCTTTATCTTAAAGGGGGAGAAATACTGAGATTACTACCACCCTATTGTCTCTCATATGTTCATTTCACTCATATGATACATCAGTTTTTGGCCTTGGTTATGTTGGGCATTATAGTACAGTACTGTAGTAAATTCAAGGAAGAAGATTCTAGTTTAATGTTTTACAAAGTGTTAAGGGAAAATTTAGTGGGGGAATATACGTTTTTATTTATCATTACATCTTCTTCCCTTTGTAATTTAATCACATATTTTCAGTATTAATATATATATATTTAACTAGCTATTATAAACCTGAAATATTTGTAAAAAGTATTATTTTGCATTATAATAACTGTTACCTATACTTCTCTCCTATTCTTTTTGTTATTATTATTATTATTGCATCCTGGGGCTTGGATACTCCCGCCCCAAAAAGGGTAAAATAATATGGGAGCGAGATGTAACACAAGTTTAGGAAACGGTCTATTATATTTTCTTCTCTAGTAAATGGGGTAGTCAGTGCACCCATATAAAAGGAATACCTTGTATATTTAAAAGCCAATGACTTCAGATTCAGAAAATATGATGAGAGCCATTACTGAACTCTATAGAATTAACCCTTAACCCAGTCACTTGAAAGATGGGAAATTTAAATTTACTGATGTTTTATAAAATTTACCTTAGTGAGAACTATTCTTATACTGTATGTAGATAGAAATAGGCACAGCTGAAGTAATTAGTATTAATATCAGAAAACTCGGGTTCCAATTCTTTTTAATCGTAATTCTTTATTTCTGTTAGGTGTTTGGTAAAGGTGTTGAAACCCAACCTGAATCTGGGAACTCATTGGTCTTAAATATAGTCTAGGATATACCGTATTAATAGTAATACAGGTTTACTGGTCTGAATGATTATCTAGATAATATTGACTCCTCTCTTGTTGGTCTAAGCAGCAGTCAAAGTTTTGGAGGATATTACTTTACTTTAGTATTACCTGTATATATTTCTAATCAGCTAAGGATTAATAATTTTCTAATTGTCACTTATATTAGGTGTTATGTCTGCCTTCTCTGAATGTTTTACTGATTAACTCTTTTCTGTGTAAGGATTTTCCCCAGTTTTTCCTTACCAGTGAACCCAAGTTGGTTTTCACCCGGCCTGCACACTACCTCCATGCTGCCAATGACCATGTTGATGGTTATTCTCGTACAGTATTTAGGAAAGGTCATTTCTAAGATACATAACACATTATACTAGTGCACCCTCAACCTTACCTGTTGCAACCTTCTGGTGATTGTAAGAATTCTATGGGTCACTGTTGTGGCCTTATACTTTTTAAAGCCCAATGCAGTAGTTCCATTTTTTGCTCATATAATAGTCTGGATTTTTTGTATTTCTAGCCATTATTCTCAGCCAACATGTAAACTCTTTTTATCATGCACTTAGTTCATTGATTTCATTATGAATGGGCTGTCAAAGACTGCAAATTATGCTCCACATTTTTCTTGTGTGTGTGTGTGTGTGTGTGTGTGTGCCTCGGTGCCCAAATGTTGTACCTTGTTTTACCCTCCCATTTTCACAAGTGTGACATTTCATGTTCATTAGGCTGATCGAGCATACACTCCCCACCAATGCATTATGCGCGAGGTGGCTGACGGGAAGTGATCTTTGCTGAAGTGTCTCACACCCCTCCATGCCAGCTAGCTTGGGCTGAGGCAGGCATTGTAAGTCTGGCAGCAAAGGGAAACTCTACGACAAGTTAGCCATCAATCAAAACGTTCACCAGTTGCCCGCGTAAATTTTGTGAACGGAGATTTATGAGTGCCAGAAAAAAAAAAAAGTGAGGGGGGATTCAGAGACTATTGTTGCAACAGTTAAGGTTAATATTGTTTTGTGGCAACTTTTCACCTGCATATAATATTTATCTTTATACTCAGCATTGTAAATAACTAATATGGGTACAGAATCATCACTTTTGCTGGAAGTGTTTGTTAATCGTTGCTTAGTACAGTATATGAAAAAAATTCATAATACTGTCCTGGATCTTTTGATCATACCATTAAGGCTCTGCCACTGTAGGAAGAAGATAGATGAAAAATTACCTAGCATGATTTATGCATTTATCATATCAAGTAAAGGAAATTCCATTCATTGTCAGTTTTTTTGCTGTGGTGTTTTTATGGTACAGGCCTCAGGCCATTTTTCCCAGACAGTCTTGTTACAACCTCCTTCCCTGCTGTTGAGATGTTATGCAAAGATATCATCATTATAATACCCAAGATTTGCTTATAAGTATTTTGCACTAGTCAGACTTTTTGTGTACTGTAAATACTGTATGACTAATTTTTGTCTGTTCATAAGGCTTGGTATTTTAGGCAGTTGCTCCTTGAAAAATGAGACATTTGTTGTGGTTGCAGCTGTATATAGGACATTTCTAATCTTAACAGCATTGAACGAGAATTACACCCAATATAATAATAAGGGGAACATTTACATTAAGTGATTCTTCTGGAAATTATTTGAGATCCATATTATTTTTAAGACATTCAAGAGTGTTGCATTTAATTGAGCGGAATCTGAAAAGGTGAAACCTTAGGTTATTTATAGGTATCGGTGAAAATGAAAAATGACTCGCAGATGGAATGAGGTATTAAATACGTAGTAAATAAATGCACTTTTGTTTAATATGTATAGAGAACCTAAAAGTGTTTGCAATCAAAGCAGTTTTAAAGTCGAGCAAGTGCCTTAGCCATGCAACTGTTATGTCTGCATTATAATATTTAATAGATTAATTCTCTGCATATGAAGTTACTGAATTTGGTTTCCTGTATAATATAAGATACTGGGCATGGATTCTCAAAGGTTCACAGGGTAATGTTTACATCATAACTGGAGATAAGAGAATGCATCGTGTTATGGGTAGAATCTTAGTACCCAGTATAATATTGATGGAATTTATTTATATTTCGGTATTGTAGAGTAAATGAGCCTGATAGATATATTCTCAGATCTCAACTTGGGGTCAAAACCTGATGTGTAAACCTCTGAAAGTCTTTTAGTGTGATTCACTTTTATTTGACATACCTCATTTAAATTTTCTATATACCTGTTAGCTAATGATAGAAGAAATGTAGCAAGCATTTGATTGTTTGCTTATAGGGCCTTATATGGTTGTACAGTATTAGTTGTAGGTAAGTGTAGTGTAAGGGTGTTTTGTGTCTGTTGTGTGTTGGTCATATCATCAGCCACATTTCTTTCTCAGTCTCACTACTCACAGTGTATCTTAAATTTAGCTTTGGATATTATATGAAATTATTACTATTACTGGATAGTTATTTACAATGGCGAAATGTAAAATAGGATTTCTATAGGTTGAATGAAAGACAGTACTGCACTCAATTTGAAATTATAAATATTTAAAATGGTTTTATAATAACTTGACCCCCCAAAATTAAAACAATTCTTAGATTTTTTATATTTTACAAACTTATGACAAAAGGTAATGATAGTAAAAGTTTTGAAATGGCAAATGTTATAAATTCTAATAGTATTGACATCGTTCAGCAGCATTAAGAAACATTAACTCCAGAAACATCAGATATTTTTGGTCAGAACTCTTGTGGTTGTTTAGTTTTATCATCTATGTATACTATATGTATGTATGTATGTATGTATGTACTGTGTACTATACATGTATTTCAAGATTCAGTTTACTGTATCTCCAAAACTATACAACCAGTTTCATGCACACCTGAGGGTAATTTAATCAAGGTCAAGTATATTATACCCATATTTTTTGTTAATTGGAAACTCAGGGTCATATTAAAAGGTCCAAATAACATATACAGTGGTCCCTCGATTAACGAGCGGTTCAATTTTAAGATTTCAGTTGACGAGTTACCTCCCGTAAGGACTTTCAGTTCTATTAACGAGTACAAATTCTATTAACGACAGCCTTAAGAGAAACACGTTTTGGTGCGCGCATCAGCTGATCGACTCGTCCGCCAATAATCAGTTCTATGTTTACCTTTGTTTATAATGGAGTAAACATGGAGAAAGTTGTGCTCTTGAATATTTTTGCATTTTTACATTAAAATTATTGGTCATTCTGAAATTTAGTTAACATATTGATAATATACAGTGCAGTGTTGATTTAAATAAAATAATCTGTAATTACAGGTAGTGAACTAAAAAATTTATTGGTGAAATTATCAAGCATGGGTCCAAAGAAATCTCAGAAGGTGATTTCAATTCCAAAAGGAGGACAGAGGATTTTCATGTTAGAGAATCTGTCACTCCAGAGGTTCCTGACATTATTATGGAAGGTGATTCACCTTCCAAGAAGCATTAAAATGCTTCTCTTCTCCCTTCTCCTCCACCCCCACTTCCAATTCCGTTCATCTTCCTCCTCCTCCACCTTTCAACTCAACCAGCAACACACTACATACACACCTCAAAGTAAGTGTTAAAATATTTTATTGTCTTTTATTTATTATTGTACAGTATACTGTACAGTACAGTACCGCATTTTGTTTATGTTTAATGTTTTGTTAATTCTATTACCGGTATACAGTACTTTGTATGTACCGTACTTATTCTGGGAGTTGGACCCAATATCCCATTGAAATACAGTGGTCCCTCGGTTAACGAATGGTTTGATTAACAAAATTTTGGTTTACAAATTACCTCCCTTAAGGATCTTCAATTCAGTTAACGAACTAAACTTTGATTAACGAAATCCTTACGACAAACACGTTTTGTTGTGAGCATCGGCTGATGGGCTAGTCTGCCAATTCAGTAATCTGTTCTATGTTTACATTCGTTTCCAGTGGAGTAAATATCAAGAAAGTTGTGCTCTTTAATATTTTTGCATTTTTATATTAAAATTATTAATCATTTTAAAATTTAGTTAACATATTGACAATATATGCAGTACTGGGAACTAGTTTTTTGTGTGTTCATAACCCTCTTGACTCACCCACCAGGCGTCAGTGTGACTTTGTTTACAGTGGAGTGAACATCGATTTTGTTGGTGTTTTTGCATTTTTACATTAAAATTATTGGTCATTCTGAAATTTAGTTAACATATTGATAATATATAGCGCAGTGCAGTGTTGATTTAAATAAATTAATCTTGAATTACACCTAGTGAACTTAAAATTTTATTGGTGAAGTTACTGCATCAAGCATGGGTCCCCTGAAAGGTGATTTCTCCTCCATCCCCACTTCCTTCTCTTCTCCCTTCTCCTCCCCCACTTCTAATTCCCATCATCAACCAGGAACCTTCTACATACACACCTCAGAGTAAGTATACTTTACTGCATTTTTTCTTACTTTGTATGTACTTTTCTGTGAGCTGGAACTAATTACCCAATATCCCATTGAAACAATGGATTCGGTTAATGAAATACTCTGTGGAACGAATTGTGTTTGTTAACCGAGGGACCACTGTAATAGATTCAATTAACGATTGACTGTGGAACCAATTGTGCTAGTTAATCGAGGGACCACTGTACACTAATATCTCTGTTAGCCGGTTAAGAGGTAACCAGAACTCTCCGATAGCTGGAATTGAAATTTTCCGAGGGACACATTTTCTAGAAAATTCTGGTAACATTTTCCCGGTACTTAGAAAATTCCAGGGATGTGGAATTTTTTCCTGGTTTGAGAGTTGAAAATCAGGCGCATTTTTCCAGAAATTCTGAGAAAATTTTTCTGGTACTCAGAAAATTCTGGTGATTTTTTTTTTTTTTTTTGAGATGAAATAATGCGTTATTCTGGAAAATTCCGGGGATGAGGGATTTCATTCCGGGTTCAAGAAATGATGTAATGGGCAATTTCTGGAACTTCCAAGAAAATTTTCCCGGTACCCAGAAAATTCCAAGGGTGGGGGGTTTTTACCCGGCTTTGTGAGAGTCGTCTCATTACCCGGAACTCTTGCATCCCCGGAAGTGCTCTGCATCAATTGTTCCGGATAAAGGAGATATCACTACAATATTGATATTTCTCAGGATGGTAGGTCTAGTTAGGATTTTCAATGTACTGTAGTTTTAAACATGGTCTACATTTCTTGTTTATTAGTACGTACAATAGTACAATACATTGATTTACGAGACACTCAGATGTCTGGAACGTCACATGACTGGACTGGGAATACTTTGTTAATTATGTTCCAGTAAAATTAATATTGGAAGAGCAACAATGGAGCAAATGGTATGCCTATAGATACATGAAACACAATTTGGAACAGTATCACCTTGGCTGGTCAGGTGGCCTCTGATGAGTCCCTGGCAAGACTTTAGTTCTCTATTCAATCACTAGCCTTAACAGTACAGCATCTCCCTTAAATGAGGGCTGGATACTCTCTGATGGGGTTATTTCATAATAGATGGCACTCAAGTGACATTTTTGGGCAACTCATTAGTTCAAGGCATTGGATTGAGGGAAGAGACTTATATCTTGCCATTGTTTGCACAATATTTTTCCAGTCAGCACTTTATAGCAATTGCCCTGGACTGCCATTCACCGCCAACTCCTCTTCTAGGTAAGACACCACATACTATCGGGATCCCTCCCCTATCTCTAATCTTCCCCAGCGCCTCCCTATACCTCTTGAAAAGTTCCTCACTCCTAACCTTTCCTATGTCGTTTCCTCCCACACTAAGACACACGACTGGATTGGTACCCTCCCCTGACAAAACCCTATCTATCCTCTCAGCTACATGCCCTATCCCAGCCCCAGGAAAACACACCCTAGTCCTACGTTTTCTATCTCTTGCACAAAAAGTTCTATCTAAAAACCTCACCTGGCTGTCCCCAACTACCACGACCTTACCTCTGGGCAGGGTTTGTACAACTGCCCTTTCCTCTCCCTGCACCACACTTTCCTGCCTCTTCTCTTCCCCGCCAGCTTCCTCCAGCATATATATAATTTTATTTATTTTTTCCACATAATTTTTACTAGCCATTTGGGCACTCTATCTAGTGTTAGTACAGGAGGAAACTGGGGGCTGGGAAACCTACAGTGATGTTTGGTAGTGAGGTTCACACTGGATAACACCTTTCTCACCTGTGTCGGGCCGAGGCTCGAACCCTGGACATATTGGTGAGAGTTATGCTCGTTACCACTGTACATAATGCATAATACATACCGGGTAATAAAAAAATCCCAGCAGATGTATTGGTGCTGTTGACCCCTCACAGATGTCACCTATAATAAGCAGTACACGATGTTTTCCTGCTTTCTCAGTGCCCCTAAAAACACAATAGAAAACTTAACATTCATTGACCTAGAGATCCCGTGCCTTACCCATTAATACCACAACTTCCCATTCAATACTGAGATAAATACTGGACTGTATATTGTTTTGAGTTGCAGATTCTTTACTTTTCCATGTTATATTTTTTTAAGGTATTTTTTTTAAATGGCGTGGGTGTAATCTTTATCTTATGAGCAATTAAAAGGTAAATAGTTGGAGACTTACTTCTCTCTCATTCCTCCCCCCCCCCCCAATTCTGTTTTTTTAATAAGGAAATAACATACACTTAAAACGATTTCATGTAATACATCTTCTGTACTATGCTAAGTAAGAAGGTACTGTGGGATGGTCCCAGATGCCTACCAGTATGTCAGCTTCTCAGCATCTTCCACTGATACTAAAAACTATCATAGCTCTTGTGTTTTTGTCCATAAATTGAAAGTTCTGTCCTAAAGGGTACTGGGTGGGACATTCCCAGTTCACTCAGCTGTAATGATTAATTCAATTTTCAATCAGGAAAGTGGAGTGCTGGCCATGCTGCCTCCAATTGTGTACCAAAAGCCTAGTACTGTACTGTATACAGTGTGTTCTATCCACACCGCCCCTAATAGGCAGTCATTCCATTTTCACCTTTCTTACCCAGGAACATTGGACTTTTTTGCATATTAATAAGTATGACCACATAACTCCTCTTTGCAGGTGAGTGATCTGTAGTTAAGTACAGTACCTGTAATAATCTGCTTGTTTTTGATGCACTTCTGTATTGTACTGTATATGGTACTCCATCTGATAGCTAGACAGATAAGTAGTTAATTCTTTAATAAAATCTTCAGGCAAGTTTACATTGATTCAGCATGTTATAGGCAATGTAGGATTGGAGGGTACAATATACATAGACAGTGTAGATATATAAACAACATAAACAGTGCAGGTATATAAACCGTAGTAAACAGTGATTCGACCCAGGATGGCCAACATAATCATCATATGCTTGTGTCCAGTAGGGTCCCCATTATCACCAGTATAAATTCCCTGCATTGAATGAAGAATTTACAGTACTTTTCAAATTTTAATTAGCTGGCTGCTGTGCCAATAAGTAAGGTTTATTAGTAACATTGAGGAAATTGAGTATTTCCTCATTCACCAGATAAATTTTAAGTACATTC